TTTAAGATCTGGTGATGGCGGCATCGAAATGGACAGCACGAGGTGGTAAATTAGGGTTTTGCTTTTTATTTCTTCTCTAACAAATTTGATGCCAGGTAGAGGTTTAGGTTTAGTGTTTTCAGAGATTCGAGTCGGGCGAAGGTTTAGGTTTTAAGTGGTGGTGGTAGCGGTAGCCTTCTAAGTCCATATGTATAGCTCGATCCAATGTCTAGACGACACTAGGGTGGTGGTGACGGCGTTGACCAGTTGTAGCGGCGACTGAAAAGCTAATCGTTGAAAAACGAAGAACAGATCTGGCAGTGGTGATGGTTCCCAGCAAGAATGGCGGTTGTGCCGGTGGTTTCCGATTGTGTCAGTGATTTTCAGTGAGACAGTGAAAAAGATAGATGAAGTTTGTATGCGTTAAAGGACAAATCAATCTTTTGAAGTGCATTTAAATTTTTTAGGGACAAAAACTGCATGAAATTTGACTTAAAGTGCATTTTTTAAGATACAACCAAATTTACAATATACTAATTTTAAAAAAATTTGAATTTTAACAATTAAAAATTATCATCACTTCTCAAAAGAATTATGGTAAGGATACTTCTATTGAGAGTTTTTTTGCAAAAAGGGGCAGTTTTCAAAAAGTCTTGTAGAAATGGAGTTCTTTTAATTGTGTTTGTAGAAATGGGGTTCCTGGCCCACAAACTAAATAGGTAAATGAAAGGAGCCCTCACAAACTTACAACATTGGTCTTTTGTCTTTTAAAATATGTTAAAATTTTATCCTTCTATATTTGTTTCTACATTTAACTAATATATATAATATTATCTAGCTTAAATATGTTATTAAATTTTATAGATAACATTTAATTGTTTTTACGACACAAACGATCTCATTTATATTCCAAAATTTTGTAATATTAAATATTATTTTATTTATACAAATACAATTAACATATAAATATTTTTAGAATCATATAAATAATAAATAAATAAATATGAATATTTATATATAAATTGTACAATCAAATAGTTGAACCTGTAAAAGCTAACACTTTATCCAAAACAAAAATGTCACCGTTTATTGAAAACTCTTAAAATAAAACTGCTTGAATTGTCATATCTAAATTTTTTTAGTTGAATTCATTTTACTTTTTGATGCTACAAATTTGATCTTACGAGCTAAGGTTCTTCATCATTCTTCCAAAATTGTTTCCACTCAATTACACATTTCTCGGTTCTTTCATGCTTCCATATTATTCATATAATTAGTTCTTTCATATATTTAATATAAGGTATGTATAGTTTCTAAATATTTTGCATCTATTGTGTGTGAAACTCTCTCTCTCTCTCTCTCTCTCTATATATATATATATATATATATATATATATATATATATATATATATATGATACTAATTTGGATATGTTATCATACGATTTGTCTTGCAGTTACATTTATGGCTCTAAATCGTCTATTTATGATTAGTTTCTATTGGGGTGGTAATCTTGAATATGAGAATGGAATCATCAAGGGAGACGAATCAACCGTGTCAGCTTCAGACATTATTAGGGAAAAAATACGGTACGAACAATTTCAAGATTTGGTTTATGCACTTGTTGGAGTTGAAAAATTCTTCATTTAAGTTGAATATGTCATTATGTTACCAATATGCTGGGAGATCTAATATTGCACCACTTATAAATGATTCAACCTTAGACATGCTGTATTATTTAGCAGAGACTGATGAAAATTATTGGGGTCATGTTTGAGTTGAATTTAATAAAATAGTGCCACCTGCAAATACTAGTTTGGTAGATCTCCTTCGTAATTTTGAAGTACCATTTCCTTTGCCGAGCGATGATAGATTTGAGCCAAATAATGAGTTTGGATTTGATGATCCCAACTCAAAATTCAACAGTGAGTCGTTAAGCCATATTGAGGAAGACTCTGATGACGTGAGTGACTATCCATTTGTAGACTTTATGAATGATGTTGGAAATATAGGAGATGATGTTATAGAAAATTTAGATGAAAACATTCATATAGATGTTTGTAAGGAAACAAAAAACAAAATCAGGTTGGAAATGTAATTTGAAAGTAAGCAGCATGTAAAAAATGTAGTAATACTTTGGTCCATCAGTCAAAATAGAGAGTTTAAAGTGTATGAAAGTAAACATAACAAATGGGTAGCAAAATGTAAGATTGATGTGGGTGAAGGAGAAAGCTCTAGTTCTATGCACCATACAAAATATTGTCAATGGTATATCCATGCAATTAAGAAGAAAAATAATCATATGTGGCAGATTACACTTTAGATGGATGCACATAATTGTTTTGGATCTTGTACCGGCAATAATAATAGAAATTTAAACTCTAGAGTTATTGCCTCATACATTCTCCATTCCATTCAAAAAGATGTTGCTTATCCGGTGAAACATGTACAAGAAGATATAAAAGATCATTTTTCATGTTGAAGTTACTTATTGGAAGGCATGACATGGAAGAAGAAAAGTCATAGAGACTATTTATGGAACTTGGGAGAGTAACTTTGTCGAGTTGCCCAAGTATGTTGCAGCTTTGCAGGCTTAAAACCCTGATACACTTGTCAAGTGGTTTCATAACCAAAATAGCTCATCACAAGTGGCAAATTTAAATATATTTTTTGGGCTTTTGGACCAGCTATTAAAGCATTTCATCTGTGTCGCCCTGTAATTTCTATCGATGGTGCTCATTTGAAGGGTTCTTACAAAGGAAAATTGCTTGTTGTTGTTTCAAAAGATGCTAATAATAATATATTACCAATTTCCTATGCCATTGTTGATGAGGAGACAGTTCATAGTTGGTGTTGGTTTTTGGATCATTTTAGAAATTTTGTTGCTCCAGATAGACAGTTATGTGTTCTTTCTGATAGGCACAAAGGAATCATTCATGCAATGGAAAATCTAGAGGAATGGAAAGAGCCATTAGCATATCATCGTTTTTGTCTGAGGCATGTCAAAAGTAATCTCATGAAAAGGTACAAGAATGTGAGCCTTAAAAAAATTTGTTGGTCTATGGATAGCACCACACAATAAAGGAAGTTCGCTAAGTATATAAGGGAAATAAAAGCAATCAACATGGAAGCTTGGCAGTATTTGAGGGAAATTAAAATAAGTCAATGGTGTCTTTTATATGATGAAAATCATCGATGGGGTTTCTTAACGACCAACATCTCTAAGAGTATGAACAATGCATTACGAGGAGCGAGGCAATTGCCAATTAGGGCGTGTATTGACCTTACATTCAGTAGAACTGTGCAACTTTTCAGAAAGCAAAGTGCTATTGTAATGAACTGTATTACACCTCTACCAAAATGTTTGTGGCGTCTATTTCTTAAACGTGACACTCGTACATAAAGTCATACTTTATCTGAGTTTCACTACAATGAAGGTGTTTACAGAATTCTCACAAGGTCACAAATAAATGGAACTGGAGGAAATACACAAACTGTTAATTATTTTCAACATATGTGTACTTGTGGTAAGTGGCAAATGGAGAGATTTCCATGTTCACATGCACTTGTAGTTTGTCGGAATAGAGGGGGCAACCCTCTTTCTATTGTGAACAATGTCTACACTACTATGACGTACATACAACAATACAATTTTGGGTTTGTACCACTTCCTCATGATGATTATTGGTTGGATTCAAACTGGACGATTGAAGCAGATTACTCAAAACTTTCCGTTCATCGAGGACGAAGGCGTGCAAACCGAATTCGTAATGAGATGGACATTCGTCATCCTGATGAACCTCGCAGATGTACACTATGCCACCAACCAGGTCATAATAGAAGAAATTGTTCAAATTCTCAACCAAGATTCAATGAGTAGTTGATCTTGTATTTTCTTGTGTGATTTTGTACTATGATTTCTGAATTTAATTAATGTAATATCAATTATGTGTTTTCTTATTTCTTATTATTACAATATTAAATATTAATATTAATGGAAATGTATAAATGAGATATATATGGCACTGAAAACTAATAAGCGTCAGTTATAAATTAAATAATATATTTATGCTAAATATTATTAAAATTAAGTAAATGTACAAAGTACAAATAAAAAATATAGTAGGATTTAGTAGTAACATATTTCATAAAATAAGGGTCAATATTGAATATTTTTATGAACTATTTTGGAAATTTAAAGTTTTACGTAAATTTAATAAGATGTAGTGGTAACATATTTTTACAAAAGATTATAATTATAACATATTTTTATAAGACAAGGGATCAATGCTGTAAGTTATAAGGGATTATAAGTGTTGATATTATATAAATTAGGTAAATGTAGAAGAAAAAATATAAAAGGATAAAATGTTAACATATTTTAAAAGACAAAGGACCAATATTGTAAGTTTGTGAGGGCTCCTTTCATTTACGTATATTGGGGCCAGGAACCCTATTTCTACAAACACAATTAAAAGAGCTCCATTTCTATAAAGTTTTATCAAAATTGCCCCCATTTTGCAAAAAAACTCTTCTATTGATCCTTAGACATCCATGATGAGTTCAATAAGAAAATTGAATGATATGTCAATCTAGGTGTCATTCGATAGATGAAATTTTACCATTATGCAATGTGATGTTGACATTCACTAGTTATAGAATTCGATAACAAACTCTTAAATAGAAAAATAGAAAATTTTTAATTTTTAAATATATATATACTATAAGTTATCTTTTATAATATTTTTTTAAACTTTTGTAGAGTTAACTATATGAAAAAAATAATACTAAAATTATAAGAATTGTACAAAAATGACATGTATTGTGGAAGTTCTTACAACCCGGTGTTGCTAATAATTCGTTGATAGATATATTGTCTTCAACTTGTTTTATAAATTATAAAAATCAGCCGTACATATTCTCTTTCAACTTGTTTTATAAATTATAAAATCAGCAGTACATATTGTCTTTCAACTTGTTTTATAAATTATAAAATCAGCAGTACCAGACAACGTGAACCTGCACCCATCTAATTTTACACAAAACAATATGCCATGATTTATGGCAGAAGTTGTGCATCATGTTGGATATAAAATTCCACAACCCAGACTCTCAAACTCGTAACTATTCCATGCTTCCTCACCTTCATCTTCTTAAATTAGCAAGTTCAGCTGCCGATATTAAATAACTAATTGGCCGAATAGCTATGGCTAACCACCGTGAAACCACCATCGACCCCCAAGTTCTGTCCACTCACATATGCCGATTCATCCGAAGCTAGAAACAAAGCTGCCTCAGCAACATGCCTCGCCTTCAGCACTATGCCCTTTAAATTCCCCGTCGCACAGCAATTTTCCTCCACCTGGCTTGCCTCCAGATTATAGGCTGTGCAGCTAAGAGGAGTGGCCACACCGAAGGGTGAAACACAGTTCACTCGAATCCCATGAGCTCCAAGCTCGTTGCACGCAGTCTTCATCAATCCCACCATGGCGTGTTTGGAAATGGTGTAAGCATGGGGGCCGGCTCCTCCGATGGAAGCTGCAACACTGGCGGTGCATATGATGGAACCCCGTATCTTTCCGGCAACCATAGCACGAGCAGCGTGTTTGATGGTTGCAGCCACCCCACGAACGTTGATGGCCATGGTGTTATCAAATGCATCGAGGTCCATGTCTAGGAGGCTCGTCATTGGTCCCATGATCCCTGCATTGCTGAAAAGTACGTCGAGGCTTCCGTATTTGGCGACGGTGAAGCTCACGGCTTCCTCCACCTGTTTTTCATTACTGACGTCACAGTGACTGTAGCAGATCTTGGAATCCATGCATGACGCAACCACTTGTTGGCCCAAGTCGTCTTGAACATCGGCAATGACGACGTGAGCTCCGTTCTCCAGGAATAACCTCGCAGCCTGTTCTCCGATGCCGCTAGCACCGCCGGTGATCAGGGCTACTTTACCCTCCAATCTTCAAATACATACACTGTGTAATAATCATTATTCTAAAAGATAGGGAGATGCATCGAATAAGTTCATTATATTAGTTTTACCTGGTCTTGTTGATCATAGTTTTCCGGTGGGATGAATGAGAATGCTGTTAAAAGAAGGATATGGATGGATCTCACTACTTCCAATATTGATATACTATGCGTCGTGTGGTATTAACTAAAGGCTAATTAAGACGTGACTATATTTATAGTACCTAGGAAGATGAAGTGCACATGGACCTTTAAATGATTTCTCATTTCTGTACATATAATATATATAGAGCATGTAACATGAACAAGAATGATACGATATGTGTATTATAAATGGTAGATGGTAGATTTCACATTAATCGAATATAATTAAATTATTTTTCAAATTAATTTAATATTTGTTAAACCTATATAAAATACAACAAAATAAAAATGTTGATTTATACATCTAACTGATGAGGATCGTTTTCGTGTGTTAGGAAAGGTTCATTAATCATATACTTTTCATAAGGCGCATCTATGTATAGTGAAGGTGGGTCTAAGACCCACCTATCTTTTAAAACCATATTATAAGTTGTGGTTGACAAAAAAAAAAAAATAAGGAATGACCTTATAATTTTTCCAAGACCTACATTATAAACCTTCGATTATAAACTTTGTGAGAAGAAAATTTGATAAAAATATATGAAGCCTATAGTTTATATTTCATTCCACTTAAAATAACTCAATGATTTAATCCACTTAAAATTTAATTTTTCGAAATTATTAAAATTTTCATATTTTCTACTATCGTGCAACCTATAACTTTCCCGTGCAACCCCTGCTGTGAAATCTTGCATCCGCCCTTGTCCGGCCTGTATCGTTCGCCGTCCGACCATCGTCACCGGCCCACCGTTGTCGCTCCGCTAAGCACCAGTCTGCCACTAGTATTATTTACTCTCTCATTTTTCACTACTAGAAAACAACCCTTTAATGAGACGCAAACAATAACATGCACTGATACGATACGCATTTTTTGTATGTCATAAAAATATTGTCTGCTGATAAAGGACACGCATTTGTGCGTGCCCTAAAATTAATGTCCAACAAAAGAAAAATATTACAAACACGGAGAGCGCTTATGTTAAATGTGTGTCATCTAGAAATGTCACTTCATAAATTTTTAATTAGACGCGTGTTTGTAGGGGGAAAATGAAATCTCTAAAATTCTAATAATTTTAAGTGCCCGCTTCTGCACTCTATCCTCTTGATCTCCCTTCATTCTCTATGTAAACCCTAAGCCATCGCCATCTTCCTTGTCTCTAGGACGTGCTAGGGTTTTATTTTATTTTAAGCTTCCACTTCTCCTGATTTTCAACCACGCACCACCATTCGTCTTCTCTCTAGTTCACCACCGCCACCAATAAAGCCCCATTATACCACCGGCACAACATACCACAAGATCACCACCCCTCTTTCGCACAACCATTGTCGGTTACTAACACCACCATTTGTATAAAAACCCTAGAACCACCAGGCCACCCTTTTCCGCTATCCATGTCCCTCATTTTTCTCTATCTCTAACAGACCACTGCAACATCACATTCATGGTCGGTCCAGGGTACTTATAATTTGGAATTAATTGGTAGGTAGACAGCAACGCCTCTTTACCTCATCCATCCTCCATGTCTCTATCTCCGGTGGCGAAACAGTGAAGTAGGGGATTAAGAAATCGGAGGAGGGATTGAGAGAATTTGTCGCTTCCTCCAGTTTTTCTTTTGATTTTAGTAATGTTTATATTCGGTTTCTCTTTCTTCAGATTTCTTTTTCACAGATTTCTTCCCATCTGATTTCATGATTTCAGATTTCTTCCATACGATTTTGATCTTACATTGAGATTTAGAATTCTCAATCTTCTGTTTCTCTTTTAGAAGCTTTGTAATCTTTTGATGGTTGTTGGGTAGAAGTATTACATGGCTTCTTCTAGGGAGTTGGTGAGGATTGTTAGCATACAGAAATCTCCAATTATTAATATTTTGGAGAATCGATTGTTGGAGCAGGCATAATTCGGGGTTTTGGACAAGAAAAAAAGTTCATAAAGAGGAATCTTTATCTTATTGATTGTTTTGCTAGGACATTCTTCTGTAATATATACGATGGATGATTTTACAGGAAGAAACTGATAGGTGAGGCAAAGGCTACTTTTATCCCACGAGTTCCAGAGGCGTTGAAAACAAGTCTGATCAAGCACATTAGAGCTCATGTGGATCCATGAAACAAGTCAACAAGAATAGGAGGAAAATTTTGTTTCTTTTTTCTTTTTTTAATCTTTTGACCCATCATCAGGTACACGTGCTTCTGTTGGATCAATTGGACTTGTTTTCTCTTTTCAATCAGCTTAATTTATGTCTTAATTGTCTTAATCAGGATAAAGTACAAATCTATGTTGACCATAATAGTTGTCTTTAGAACTGAGAAGGTTTTGAAACAAGTTGTAGAGAATGTCTTAAAGGAGGTTGCATCATTTTCCTGTAACTGGCTTTGTTTTACAATCAACCTGAATTAAAAGTCTTGTCTGAGTTTTTCAATTTTTGTAGTGAATTTTGATGCATCGGGTGGATGGAATATGTTTCCAAGGAACCACAAGTAGAACAGGAATTGATGCTTGTGATGCTTAATGCTAATCAAACCATAAGATCCAAGGTGAGGACTACATACTTACATTGTCTATTGGATATATAATGTTTGAAACCAAATATACATATTCTTATAAAACTTTTTATTTGTTTAGTCAATGGCAGATTAAATTGAACAATTAGGAATTAAAATAGAAACACAACAAAAGGATTTTGAGGAATTGCAAACTCAATTTAATGCCCAAGTAGAAGAGTATTCCAACTTGAGCAATAAACTTGAATCAACACATGTATATTATAATTCATAGCTTTTGATTCACTTCTTTTTCTAAAGGATTATCTTAAACCATTACTAATAAATGTCTTATCTTTTTTCTTATTTTTTTTAATGCAGACCAAACTAAACCAAACCAATAATGTGTTTTTATCTATTGTTATTGTAAGTTATTTTAAGCTACTTATTTGCAAACTTTTAACGATTATAAAAATATATTTAGGAAATATTTTAGTTAAATTGAGATTACAATGTAATCTTTGCATTTATCACTACAATTTATCACTTTTCACTATTTGAAAAATATTATTTGGTTTTTCAAGTGGAATTGAAATTAATATTTAAGTTGACACTGTGTGACATCCCTATTTTCACAGCCAGAAAATACCGATTTGTTTATATTTTATTTTCAAATCGGAGTAACCTTTTAAAGAAAAGTGTTGTGGAATTTGTTACTAGAAAAACATGATAAATATGTTATCAAAGCATTTCCTAAGGAATGTATTTTATTCATTTTAAAACTTTGGGATGTTATTGTCATTACAAAAACATAAGCATAAACAGAACTTACATTCATTTAAACTAGTGATCTACATCTCTTTAATCTCTCGGTGTAGTGTAGCTTTATATCGACACATGTGATACAAATAAACTAAATGGGTCATGTTGCGAAACCTGGTGAGTACATAGAGATTTCAATCTCACAATGGTATATCATATATATATATATATATATATATATATATATATATTATAACTCACAAAGTATACAATTTCACCATATATAAACAACTCTTACCCCACCCCGTCGATCCCTACAACGACACTATCCATACTCTCGGACCTTAAAATTTATCTCTTTACTTAATTCATACTCCCGGATCTAATCCATGCTCTCGGATCAATAACTGTGCCCATTCCATACTCTCGGACTAGGGACAATTGTCTATGTCTAAATCCATACTCCCGGATTAATGACAAATAACTATGTCATATCCATACTCTCGGACTAAGGACAACTGACTATGTCTTAATCCATGCTCCCAGATTAATGACAAATGACTGCTCCCAATCTATACTCTCGGACTAGGGACGAATGACTATGTCTAATCAATGCTCCTGGATCAATGACATAATTTAAAGTTCTATTCGCCATGAATATCTCACTCGTACTCATAAAAAGATACTACTCAATATTCCTCATAATTAGTTTAGGTTTATTCTTTATCCTAAATCATCATATTTTATCCGGTATGCTCTTTAACATGTATTTCAGGCAAAATTTCACACATAAACATACATTTAATACTTCAATCAATACTTGTACTAAAATCATGTTCATGAAAGGGACTATGCACTCACCTGTTAAAGTAAGGATTCCAAACTTGGGCAGCGCTTTGCTTCTAACGATTCTATTTTCCTTCGACGAAACCTAGCATTATTATCGTTAAGTTTTAGTCTAATCTTTATTGCGACTAATTATTAGTCTAGATTCATCATTAACTCAAAGTCTACTTTCATGATCTATCAAGTAAGGAACAACCAGGTAGGATCATATCTAAAGTCAGCCACAAAGTCTGCTAATGCTTGTGTCTTTATGGCGGATCTTGGTTCATATATGATGTTGAACGTGCTTAACTTCACCGACCATTTTGCCATCCTTCCTGACATTTCTGGTTTTCTCGTGACATTCTTAATAGGATAATTAGTTTTTACATGTATAGTGTGTGTTTCGAAATAATGTCTTAATTTAGTAGAAGCAGTCACTAAGGCAAGAATTAATTTTTCGAGGTGGGAGTATCTGTTTTCAGGATCCAGATGACTTTTACTTACATAGTAGATAGGAAGTTGGTCTCCATTAAGATCATTGGCCAAGACGGAACTTACCGCGTTTGAGGATACTAAGAGGTAAAGGAGAAGTGGTTCCCTATCTATAGGCTTTACCAGTAATGGTGTGGAACTCAAGTATTTTTTGAGTTCCTGAGAAGCTTTTTCGTGATCTTTAGTCCATTCGAACCTCTTGTTTTTCTTCAAGATATCATAGAGCGGTTTACATATTTCTGAGGATCTTGAAATAAACCTGTTGAGTGCCGCTACTCTTCCGGTTAGCCTTTGGATATCTTTTGTTGAAGATGGGGATTTCAACTAGATGGTTTCTTTAATCTTCTCCGGACTTGATTCTATTCCTCTCTTTGTTACCATATATCCAAGGAACTTCGCCGACTTCATCCCAAAATGGAATTTGAGCGGATTCAACTTCATATTGTATTCATCCATGATGTAAAATGCTTCCTTAAGATCTTAGAGGTGATCTTCAGCTTTTATTGACTTCACTACCATGTCGTCAATGTAGACTTCCA